GCTTAAAACTCACGCCGGGTGCGTGTGCGTGCGTGCCCAAGATCCCGAGAGGACAATGGAGGAGAAGGGATTGTGGCGTGACCATCTCCCCTGGGGGGTTGACTTCTCGCTTTCTATCTCTCTGTCTCTGTCTGTCTGGCGAGCGCACGTGCCCTATAGTGAAAACCTCTCAAAAAAAAAAATTTTTTTTTTTGACCAGAGACAGAGAGAAAGAAAGGGAAAGCAAGAAAGCAAGCTGCCAGATCTGAGACTTGAACCATGGTCAGCCATGTGGGAATCCAGTGCTTTTACCACCTGGCCACTTGCCGGCACCACTATTAATGTAGTTTTACTTATCACCCTTTTATTTATTTATTTATTTTATTTGACCAGATAGAGATAGAGAAGGAAAGTGAGAAAACAAGCCACTAGGTCCAGGACTTGAACTGTGGTTGACCATGTGGGAGTCCAGTGCCTTAACCACCTGTTGGCCTCCAGGAAATGCATTTATTATTATTATTATTTTTTTTTAGAATGAGACTTTTGCTGTAGGGCATGTGCGCTCACTGGAGAGACTGAGAAAGACAGAGAGAGAGAAAGTAAGCCCAAGGGGATGGGGATGCTGCAATCCTCTCCTCTAATTCTCCTGGGATTTTTGGCCAGTATGCACACATGCCTTGCATAAGTTTCAAGCCACCGTCCAGGACTTCAACCATGGTCAACCATGTGGGAGTCCAGTGCCCCAACTACTTTACTACCCACTAGCCCAAGAGAATATATTTTAAAAAGTAGGGTTTTTTTTTTGGGGGGGTAGGTTTTTGCTATAGGGTACATGTGTTCACCAGAAAGAGAGGGAGAGAGAAAGACAGAAAGCAAGACATCACCCCCCAGGGGCAATGGCCACACTGCAATCCCTTCTTCTCCATTCTCTTCTTGGAATCTTGGGCACGCATGCGCACGCGCCAGGTATGAGTTTAAGCCACCAAGTCTGGGACCCTAACCACAGTCGACTACATGGGAGTCCAGCGACATAGCCATTATGCCAACTGCTGATCCCTTAAAAAGTAGCATCTACAGAAACTCCCAATTTGGGGCCAGCGGGTGGCATGGTATTAAGGATGCTAGACTCCCATATGGCCGACTGCAGTTCAAGTCCTGGACCTGGCGGCTTGTTTTCTCAGTTTCATTCTCACTTGCTCATTCTGCCCCTCTCTGATCAAATGAAAATCAAAGTAAATAAATAAAGTTAAATAAAATAATTCTTAAAAAAAAAAACACAACTCCCAATTTATTTTCTTACTGTAGAGTTTCTTAAAGAACTATTTTAATTTTATTTATTATTTTTTTAATTTGGCCAGAGAGGGAAAATGAGAAAGTAAGCACCAGGTCCATGACTCAAACTGTAGTTGGCCATGTGGGAGTCCAGAGCCTTAACCACCACGCCACTTACTGCTTCCCCCAAATTTATTTATTATTATTTGTTTTGGTAGTTTGTTGTAGGGTGCATGTGCTTGCCAGAGATAGAAACTGTGGATGGGGACCAGCAGATTGTGTAATGGCTACGTGGCCGGACTCTTATGTAGTCTATTGAGATTTGAGTACCAGACTCAGTGGCTTAAACTCACACTGGGTGCGTGTGCATGTGTGCCCAAGATTCTGAGAAGAGAATGGAGAAGGGATTGCGGTGTGGCTATCCACCCCGGGGTGGGGGGAGTGTGATTTCTTGCTTTCTGTCTTTCTGGCGAACTCCACGCATCCTATAGCAAAAACCTTTCCAAAAAAAAAAAAAGAAACTGTGAATAGTAAGCCAGTAGTGACCTTGAAATCATGTGATTTATCATGATCGGTTATTCAAAAAAGTTTTAGAACAAGAAATATCAAGTGCAAGTATGTATTTTATACACACTGAGATATGATTTAAACAGTA